AATTATGCTCCCTTCGAACTGGTTTTCTTTAAAATACAAATCTTTGTAATCCCAGGCTATCTGTAATCAGAAGCACATTTATAACTGGAATATAATTTCATTTCATTCACATGTGTTTCATAAACACATAATCCTTTATGGATTACAACCCGCCATCAAAATGATACATTTAATTTCTGGCTGCTGTGAGAAAAGGCTATAAATGATCCGCCATTTGCAGGATCCTCACATGCCATAGCCTAGTAGCCGTGACAACTTCTTTATGTTTACAGACGTGATGTAATGACGCAGTGCCTTGCTCGAATTTCCCGTGAAAACCTACCCGTACCACTCAAATTAAAAAACCTTATTATAAGCTAACCATTGTGAATCGGGCTAAAGTAAGGCGATAGTTTTTAACACTGGCTGGTTATGTACTTGCTCAAATATTGATTTCGGATCATTTTTAACCAAAAAAAAAAAGTTACGGACTGCAGCTTTAAGTACTCCTATCAAGTAGACCTAGTGTACCTGAAAAATGTAAAGAAAGTTTATCTTTTATTGAATTGGTCTTAATTGTTATTTGCATCTTAGATCTTATTTTTTTTAAACTACATTGTGAAATATATCATTATCATTAGATAAAAATAAATATAATAATAAATAATGAAATGAAATAAAATAAAATAACTCATATAGTGAAATAAGATTTTGGTAATATCGCCCACCCAAAAAGATATGCATCTACTTGCAATTGATCAAATAAATCAATAATTGCTAAGAAAATCCCAATATGATAATTATATGACATAAGATAATTTAATGTTACTAAATTAAAATGTCAAACTGACAGCTCTTAAACAAATATAATAAAATTCACCATGTATGCAACATAGCCAGAATGTAAATTTGGACTGCATGAACACATTTCTCATAAAAAATGCTTAAAAATGCTTACTTTCTTTTCTGTACATTTGATTCTACTTATTCTCTTTAAAGGTGCTGTATGTAAGTGTTTGACTCTACTAAAGCATAAAAATACCATAATATGTTTGCAGATATTTAAGAAACATGCTAAGTTAACATATTTGTTTATCTGAAAAACAATGCTACAGTCAGTTATTCTCCTTTGAAAATGTGCATTCCGGGCCGGAATGTAGGTCTCTGTTTTGGTTTGTGAAACCCGCCCACTGCCAGTTTACCCAATTGTATTTCGGCACCCCGGGTTGCCAGTTGGCGGGAAACACAGCGCATTTCATTTCAGTCATGGAAGCTGGCAAACGAAAAGGGTCAGAGCGGGAAATAGAACTTTCAATAGAACACAAGGCTACTACCATTTAGACAAGAATGTGAAACTATTAATTTTCTTCAGCAATGTGTTGTAATCGGGGCAAGGAAAAAAGTAAAAAATACTAACTCCAGAGTAGGGCTGAACGATTTTGGAAAATAATCTAATTGCGATTTTTTTTTACCAATATTGCGATTGCGATTTAATATGCAATTCTTTTTTAAAGCTCTTTATGTTCTGTATTATTCAACAAAGACAAGCTATAAATCATTGTATAATATGACCAACACACTATTAGATAGATTAAACCTAAATGTTCTTTTCTGTAGGCCAGGCCTATATGTCACGATGAAATTAGGTGATGCATTAATTGATATGAATGACATTTTTATTTAACATCTACAATCACAGTATATTGACTGATTTGTTGAACTTCCAACCTTGTAAGCATGTAATAATTATGTTTAAATAAGCCTGGTGTAAACATTAATATGAAAGTCAGTAACAAATCACACAACCTAAAGTAGATCGCAGAAATATAAAAACAAATCTGTTGCTTTACCACACTACTTTAGGTAATTAATTAAGTCACTGTGATAAACATATGTAAACATGTGGACTGCACTAAACACTTTCTGTTAACTTTAGACCAGTGGTTCTCAAACTTTTTTGGTCGCGCCCCCCTTTAAACCTATAAAAAAAAAACTGCCCCCCTTTCCCAAATCCCCATTCCACCTCAGACTACCAAATAATTTCACTAAACATTATGAAAAATTTATGCTTTTTTATTATAAAAAACCTACAGGGAAAAAACACCTGCATCACTTGAAACATTGAAAAATAGCATAGAGAGAATAACTGTTATTATTATTATTCTCTCTCTGTTATTTATTTATTTATTTATTGTTGGTTTCATGCTGTCCGCTAAGGCATAGGACACACATAGGCTTTCCTCCTCACCAACGACATTAAACACCGTGTCTACACCGGACACGAGCGGCAAAATACAGTAGAACCATTATAATCAGTGATGCTGTGTACACGGGATGCGATGCGACACGACAAAACCCGACATTAAACTGATGCCTTGTTCCATCTATGACATACTGACACAAAGTTAAAATTATTTGCAATGGTCGCTTTGTCGCATCCAGTGTAGAGCTGTTGCGGCACGACGCGACGGTATAGACACGGTGAGTGAAGCCGAGAGCAAGATATGCCTCATCATATTTTCTGCATTTAGCTTTTAAATGACCAGCACCTGCCTGGGTCTGTGCGACTTCATCTATGGCTTTTCTCTTCGCTTTCACAAACCGATCCATCTCCCATTCTAAGTTAAGTCCTTTGGCTGTTTACTGTTTTATTTATTTTCTTTTTCTGCTGATGGCCCGCGCTCGACTTGAAGCAGCACTGCTTAGACCGATGGGTGTGTGTCATCAAAGTACTGCGAGAGTCTCTTACTATAAGAGAGTGCGGTCGTCTCCTTATGCTTTCTCTCGCCGTACTTTGATGTCATACACTCTGTACTTTGAAGTCAAACACACCTCTTTACTCTCGCGTGTCACGTGACCGAGTGTAATTGCAGCCTCTGCGATTGAAAAATCGCGTTTTCTCATATCGCGATATTATCGCAAATGCAATTAATCGTTCAGCCCTACTCCAGAGTGTGGATTTGCAGAGTAGTGAGATTATGTTTTCGGCATAACGGGCTTAACTGTCTATGTGTAATTTATGCATAATTAATTGAGGCAGTCTCGTTTCAGAAAATTAACCATTAGATTTCAAAGTAAGAAATAAATTATAGTATTTTACACCTCACAATGAATAACAGTCTACTTGGTTACGTTTACAACTGGGTTTACGTTTACATAATGTACTCGGCCGACAAATGCGACCTCCGCAGGACGCAGCAGCAGCCTCCGAAATCAGACGCAGATTCAGATTTATAAAAATACACATGAGGTGGTTTATAATTTGCAAACAATACAAATATTGCAAATGTACACATTAGCTGATCAATTTACAGTGTAAGGCTCAATGTTTTCCATCGTCAGGTGCGCTCGTTACTGTTGGTGTCGTCAATCTGGCAACCTGCATATGCTTCAAGTCAGAGGAGGAGGGACCGGGTGAAAAAAACCCTCTCCAATATTTTGAATTTGGACTGCAATACCTAGTTCAACCACTCGGTGTCAATCCTACATACAGCACCTTTAAGTACGCAATCAATATCCCAAAAGGCGTACTTTGTACTACTATATAGGACTATCAATATCTAGAAGTGGTTGTGCAAGAAGAATAATGTAGACCGAGTGCATCTCAGTGGCCACAGGGTGATTGTTTGAATGCCAAGGCCAAAGTAGAATAACAACCTGCAAGCGAACTGAATTTGCCGGACAACTGAATCCTCTCTTTTGACAATTATGTCGAAAGATACATCATGTTGCCAGAAGAAGTGATGACTAACAGATGAGAATATTGTGCAGTGAAGCATGCTTACATTGAAGGCAGAGTAAAAAAAAAATTTTGCATTGTGCATTATGAGTTATGATATAACAGGTGTACTTAAAATCCCTCAGCATTTAAAGGGGTCATATGATGCTTTTTTAAAGATCATTATTTTGTGTATTTGGTGTAACAGAATATGTTGACATGCTTTAATGTTCAAAAAATATTTTTTTAAATACTGTACATTATTGTAGGTCCTATATCCCCCGCCTCTCTCAAACGCTTCGTTTTCTACAAAGTCCCTCCTTCCGACAAGCGCAGTCTGCTCTGATTGGCCAGCTGACCCAGTGCATTGTGATTGGCCAAACACCACAAGCACTCGTCAGAAATGTAACTCCCCTTACCATAATCGCGAGCTTCATCTTTCAAAATAAATGTAAAGACAGTAAATAATGTCATTAGTTTTACCATCAGTTCAAGCCCGAAAGGGGAACAGACACAGTAATGATGCAGTACACAAGCTGCGGTTAAGACAGCTGACTCTACTATGATGTGACCCTCTCTCTCCCTCTCACACACACACACACATGCGCGCGCGTGCACGGACGCACACACACGATGCGCAAAACTCCGCATTTGAACAGTCAATAGCAAATACTTAAACTAGTAACAAAACATACTTACAGTCGCTGATTCAGAAGCGCCAGATTGTCATAGCGAAGTCAGAATTACCTCCTCTCCTAGGTTCACGAAACGGTCGTCCATAAAATGCATTGCTGTTCTGTTGTAAGTAATCTTAAAGATTCCTAAATGCATCTACTTTCGGATGGCCAAATAAAGTGCTTTTGCCTAGAAACACACAGCGTCTCCCTGACATGCTGCAGCAACACGTTTTAACGTTTAAACTTTTTAGGGGGGGTGTGGCAGAGTCTTAACTTTGATAAAGAATATCTCTTTGGTTTTGAGACTTTAGTCTTTGCAACTTCAGGGATCTTATTTATTCACAAACAGCTTGTAACACTCCAGAGAGAAAGGAAAACTTGAAATCGCATAATATGACCCCTTTAATATTTAAAGAGCTGAATCTTTTTTGATCATTATACACACATCTTACAAAAAAATGAAAAAGATGTCAGCTTCACACCGCAGCCTACTTCTCTAAAGGACCCCATCTGCTGCTTTGCGTATCTCACACAGATACAGTTTCTCAGCAAACAAGTACTGGAGATATGACAGACTGAAGGGAGAAGCTCACAGAAATGCAAGTAATTTGGCTTTGGGCGAGGTGGCTGAGGTTCTTGTGTCGATGTCATGACAATGTTTTGTCGACACCTTACCAGTACACCCAGTGTCCACCAACCCAGACTTCTCCCTCCCAGGCCTGAGGGAAATGTACCTTATTCAGTTCCTCTATTCGCCTGATCAGATAAGGGTTGCTTGAAGAATTCTCAAAGAAGACATAATCTGCAAAAGAAGACAGAAACACTGGATTATTTTGTAACCAGTATAAAAACCACATTTTAGGGCTTGGCTGACAGTTAAATGACTTAGGAGATTCAAATTACATAAAAAAGTGCAAGTCATTATTATTGGTATATTAAAAATGGTATGTTACATATACTAAATATGCAATCTACCACCACAACACATTTCCTAAACATGGAAGTTTTGCCAAATACAGAACCTTTCATGATGTGAAACTTGGTGTAGATAGAGTTCAAGACAATACAGCCTAGTGGGGCCAGATTTAACTGATTACCATCATTCATTCTTTTACTATATACGGGAAAATGAAAATATTCATAACGACCGCTGGGCATTTAAGATAAGAAAACCCTCACCAAAAAATATTTTTAGGTGAATGGTCTCTCCCTCACAGACTGATATAATGGGTAATGAATAAAGTATTCATAAAGTGCAAGGAATTAAAGATAAAACTACCTTTTGAATCAAGTAATACCGCCCATAGTTATCTTTAGATAATGAAAGAAATTCTGAGAAATAGTACATTTTATAACGCACTACTTGTTCTGGTTTAGAAAAATACCCTACATCATACAGTTACTATGAGTCTAAGACTTTTGACTTGGCCTTGACTGAGTCTAGGTAATGAATTGTTTATGTTTGGTATACATATAGAAAACACTTTCTCTCAAAGGCAAGATCAGTGAAGAATATGCAAATGCATGCATGTAAACAAACACTTCATTCATGCAAGCAACCGTATTCTGCCACTTGAGTCACATTCCGATACATGTATCTACGGCATAACCGAGCACACACGGGTCACATTAGAACCGTGCAATGTAATAATTTGTCACATAGACGCTCCATTAAAACGTCAGTGAATTCACTGAAAGTCTGCTGAAGCTACAAATTCATTTTCAATGGCACTGCATTAACGGCGCCATGAAACAATGTCAAATCCACAGCGTGTAGCCGGCTAATTGCACAAACAAACGACGCGACGGTTTTGTGTTAAAGAAGTGTTTATGATTAGACGCATGACAACAAATACGCCTCAAAATAGTGCAGATTCACAATGTTTCAGCGAATCAGTGTGCAGAAATTCAATGTGGTTTCTCTGTGGAAAACCGAGTGAGGCGTTACTCTTAAATGCTAGCTCGCTTTGCTACCTTGCATGCCGAATGAGGACCCGTAACTAATGGATACGTGCCAAAAAATGAGACAAATGATCACAAAGAAAAACATCGGCGTCAAAAATCGGCATGGCCAGGTCGCAAGCACAACTCGCTTTTCTCCTGTATGATCAAAGCTAAAAGAAACGTGCTCTATACGCGTGTTTTACATATAGTAATGATTATTTGTTTATGATGTGGCTAGCTAGCAACATAGCCCGCTTGCTAATATGCTAGTGCGGCTATGATAGTTTAAGAGGCCTGACCCACATCAGAACCCAAAATATTCTACATCCACGTTATCGCTTTCTTTTGCAAGGACACTGCACGTGTTAAGAGTTTAAAAGTAAGCGGCCGGTTGCGGCGATTCCGTTGAAACGAACCCCTGCTTCACAGACAAGTCTTGCGGTGGTGTCTGTGTTTTGACTTGCGTTAATTCAGAATATAGACGGACATACCTCCGACCCGGTACATGTTGGCCGCCATTTCTGCCCTCCCGGAGTGTTAAAAAAAACAAACCATAAACTAAAATAAAAACAAAATATATATGTGAATCAAAAAGACATCTAAATCCTGTGACCTTCTAAAAAGCAATCTGGCTTAAGATGTTTTAAATGTGGGGGGTGGATCTCTGTAAGAATAGGAGATTTTTTTGCAGCCCCCCCTCCCGAGATTCACAGTACAATACAGTAACTCACTCACGCGCTAGAAAAGGCTCGAGCGCAGCGGCTTCCTGATGATGAGAGAGGAAGAGAGGAGAGGAGATGAGGGGGGGTGAATGAAGTCTACAGACTGCAGCCTCGACTTGACACTCATGACTGTTTTACACAGAGCATGAGATTCAATTTGGTTAATGTGTGTCATGTTTTTAAAAGTAATATTTAAAATAAACATAGTTTAGCCTACATAATAATATTCGCCAATGTAAATCTTTTTACTATGACAATAAATATATTTAAAAGCCTTTAACTCTGGGAATCATAGCTATTCTTGATACTTTTAAAATATATTTAAGATAATAAGGTAAAAGACAAATGTAAGATAATTTCAGTAACGAATCAGTGCGTGAGTGAGCTATTCGAATCATTAAGGCTGAATTGATTCACGAACCGATTCAGACCTGGTTGGAATGATTCGGATCAAACGAGTGATTAATTCACTCTTTTCGCACTCTAATTCATTAATTTAAAAAAAGAAATGTATATTAAACTTGGTTAATGTACATTGCTTTAAAAAAGTAATATTTAAAATAATACACATAGCCTAAAATACCTGTAAATATTTTTAACATGATAAATAAATAAATAAATAAATAAACGCATTTAAAGGCGTTTAATGCTGGGAGATTCATGGATATTCCTGATACAACATTTGAAAAAAAAAATTTAATAAGATGAAATACAAATAAGATCAGTAATAATTCAAATCAGATTGAGCTGTTCGAATCATTCAGACTGAATCACGAACCGATTCAGAACCTGTTGACATCATTCGGATCAAAATAGTTATAAATCACGCCAGTTAACTGAAAACACGAGATGGCTTTAATGCTGAAAATTACACCGAGAAAGGCAATAAAATAGTTTAGCTATGCTATATGGTTTTATAAAAGCGCTAACGTTACATCCAAGAATGTAAACCAGACTAATCGCTAGAACAACACTACTAGCAGGGATCACTGTCTAATTTTAGTTTAGTGTGTGGGTAGACAACCATAGCAATATTGATTTTATATCGAACATTTAATTCAGTCCAACGTGACGTCCTCCTGGTCTACTCCATTGCTAAAAAAAATAAATAAATATAAAGTTCAGCAAGTTGACTTGTTAATCCCAGACATGCGCCGTGGAAAAACTCGTTTTGCGTTTGGGAACGCCCGTTCTTCTGGAGCGCACAATCGAGCGCAATAGGCTTGTCGATCTGTGACATCACTGTATGAAACAGCCCCCTGAAGGCTTGGGGTTTAGATGATGCACAAAGCAAGAAGTCACTTTTCCACGGTTCTCCAAACTGACACGCGCTCATTCTGGAAAAATAATTTTAGAATCTAAAAGAGCTACTGAGCTGGACTCGCGAATTTGGAGCTGCTTGTTTTTTCTCGCGCTTTCAGAAACATACTGGATTTTAACTATGACAATCATTAAGCCATATTGTGCGTCGTTTGTTTCTTTTTCACTCCAATCGGTGATGCAAATCTGATCCAAAATGAAGTTTGGGAAGAATATATGCATCCTAAACGTTGGTGGCACCAAGTATGCTTTCACTAGAGAAGTTATAAAGGATTTTCCCCTTCGAAGAGTGAGCAGACTCCACAGCTGTTCCTCTGAAAAAGAGGTCTTGGAGGTTTGTGATGATTATGACCGAGAGAGGAACGAGTTTTTCTTCGACAGGCACTCCGAGGCTTTTGTCTTTATTATGCTTTACGTGCGATCTGGAAAGCTCAGGTTTGTCCCGCAGATGTGCGAGCTTTCCTTTTACAACGAGATGATCTACTGGGGCTTGGAGAGCTCACATTTGGAGTTTTGTTGCCAGCGGCGATTAGAGGATAGGATGTCCGACACTTACACGTACTTTTCAGAGGAGGACATCAAGGCAGAGGTGGAGTCCAGAGGTGAGGAGGATCAGGTCACCCGGTTCGCCTCTGACAGAGGGAACGCGCGGTGGCTGGAGAGGATGCGGAGGACTTTTGAGGAACCAGCTTCCTCTGTTGCTGCGCAGATCCTGGCATCCGTGTCAGTGGTTTTTGTCATTATGTCTATGGTCATCCTCTGCGCGAGCACTCTGCCGGACTGGGATACAGCGAAAAACAATACAGTGGAAGAACACAGGTACATGCACGAGTTCAACTGCTGTGGTCTGTGGTGTAAATGCAAAATTAGCTGCATCTCTCACAGGACAGCTCATCTCCCACCATAGCTCCATATATAATAAAAGGAATCATGCTCTTCTCCACATATAGGATCTCAGAATGAAAAGGCCTATGTTGTGATGGTACAGGTTTGTCCCCCTGAACTCGTCTGTAGCCTATGTATGATTCTTTCCATGTTTTGTATCCGGTTGCATTGCGAGCTCCATTCAAACTATCTTTTCTCAAAAAAAAAAAAAAACTGAAATTAAAGTTCAACTGATATCTAAATGAGTGTATTGCACTGCATAATATAATATAGCCTAATATCATATTAAAAATACAGCTATCTCTCATTACCAAATATTATTTTTGTTGATTATTTGCTTTTTAAAACGTATTACAGTAAAAACTGTATTAGCACATAATGCAAGCTGAAGCCTGCAAAATATCACGATGGTGATTTTTGTTTTCTAGCTGACGTACTTCGTTTGGCCAGTAAAAATTATCTAACGTCAGCATGAGTAGGGGGACCCGGGAGTGCTGTAACATATTTCGTTTCAGCGTCTGTAACTGTAAGAGTTTTTTGCGCAGTGTGTGTGGCATTGATGTAATATTCTTATGTTTTTCTGCTACAAATTAAAGTAGATATAGAAGTCTACTACATATCCTCAGCTGTGCAAATTAATATTGTAGAGAGTGCTGACGTATGGGATCAGATTCCCGTCAAATGTATTGCAGTCACGGATAAAAAAATAACAAGCGTGAAACCAAAATTGAAAAACGCAAGTAAAATTATATTGCACAAAATTTAAAAAAACGAAAGCAAAATTTTCAGAATAGCAAACAATGGTCACGGATCAAAAAAGAATAAGCGTTAATCAAAAATGTAATAACGCACGAATCAAAACTTTAAACACATTTAAAATCATATTGCACAAAACTGAAATATTAATGCAAAATTATCCGAATTCCACACAAAATCATGTTTCCTTAGTTATATTTCTCTGTTTTTTTGTGCTCAGACATTTTCTGCACATATTTGTATTTTTTGTATGCTTATGATGTTTTTCTCTTCGCTCTCAAATGTATTGCAGTCACGGATAAAAAAATAACAAGCGTGAAACCAAAATTGAAAAACGCAAGTAAAATTATATTGCACAAAATTTAAAAAAACGAAAGCAAAATTTTCAGAATAGCAAACAATGGTCACGGATCAAAAAAGAATAAGCGTTAATCAAAAATGTAATAACGCACGAATCAAAACTTTAAACACATTTAAAATCATATTGCACAAAACTGAAATATTAATGCAAAATTATCCGAATTGCACACAAAATCATGTTTCCTTAGTTATATTCCTCTGTTTTTTTGTGCTCAGACATTTTCTGCACATATTTGTATTTTTTGTATGCTTATGATGTTTTTCCCTTCGCTCTTTATTCCACGTTCTGCGCTTCTTCTTCCAAATGTTGCGGTTAGAGTTTCATGTAAATCAGGGCGGGCTTAAGCATCATCATTGGTCCACTAGTTCTAGATTGACAGCTCCTCCTCTAGCCAATCAGTCGAAGAGGGGCGGTGACGTCACTCCGACACACCTCATTACTGCCGATGCTCAGTGTTCTGTTCACTTGTACAGGTGAAAATGGACAACTGTCAGCTGGGAAACATCTTTCCATACATGACACCGTTATATGTGTCTTGTCTGTCACTGCTGTACGCCTACCTGGCGATCCGTTTACGTTAAATGAGTAAATCGGTAAATTATTTTTGAATTAATGTAATGTTTTTGCAGTGAAAACGATAGTGCTACAGAGTAGACAGTTACAAAGGCCAGGTGGATTTGATATACACAATGATTTATTTGCATATTGTGTTTATTTACATAGCTACTACATATATAATTGCCTAACACTATCATATTAATGTTTCAATGTATATAAAGTTTGAACATAACAACAATATGAAAGTAAAACAGCCAGTAATTTGCGGTAAGTTACTGTCTTTAGAATAAGACATTAAATCATTCATTCGAATGGCTGATTGATTCAGTGAAGAATAAAGCGAATCATTTAATATGAAAGGCTGCTGTGTTGCTTGTAGAGGACAGGTTTTGCTGTGGCTTTGTTTGAACGCTTCAGTCGAAATAGAGCAAAATGAGAAAATAGTTACTATTAATAGTAAATTCACTCAAAATATACTTCTTGTTATATTGATTCAGTTCAATAAACATTTGCAATGGTCCTGATATTAGGAAAAACACTCTTCCTCGTGTTTTGCTTAACTGTATGTCATAAAATAAATTATAGTGCCATTCTTTACAAACACCATTTATTTTAAATGCTAAGCCTATAACTAATTTAAAACGAAACTGGGCTCACATACCTCTCATTTCCATGAGTGAATCGTTAGACGCAATGTAACATTTGGTTGATAAACTATTAGCCTATTTATTTTGTAAGAAAGTTTTGTACTTCTCTCGTATCTAAATATCGTCTCAGGTTACTTATGTAACTATGGTTCCCTGAGTAGGGAACGAGACACTGCGTCCTCTAGGGGTCGCTATGGGGAACGCCTCGTCGTGAACCGTGTCTGAAGCATACATTGAAAAAAAAACACCAACTCGTTGGCCGGCGACAGCCATGACGTTACTACCGGTGCGACTATAGTATAAATAGGCGCCGGGAGCTACACATCATTCACTTCTTCGTCTGAAGCTTGCGTCCGCAGCATGGCAAGAAACCTAGAGGACGCAGTGTCTCGTCCCTACTCATGGAACCATGGTTACATAAGTAACCTGAGACATTCCCTTTCATGGGAACTTCGAACTGCGTCCTCTAGGGGTCGCTATGGGGAATGGTATACCCACGCCACCATGCTGAGGGGAGTGCAAGCCAGAACCATGGCGAGCACTAAGTACCAACTCTACCATATTGCTATGGGAGTCGCCCCTGGGATGTTTGACAGCTGTCAGTGACGTTATTCCCTACGGCCAAAGGCCTAGGCTACATACCCCAAAAATACTTACCTGTTAGGGCCAGACTCCTGGGCCCAGGGTAGAGCTCAAGGCTTGGAATCAGAAATAGATTCCTTTAAGGGAATACGACCAAGAGCCTAGAATCATACTAGTCTTGGCCTGTCACACAGGGGCTACCGCACGTTTCTCTTTGTATGTGCTGAAGGAACTGTCTCAACAGACCCTTAGTAGCAACACCCTGGTAGGACAATCTTGAATACCGTTCTAGGGGTTCTCGTGGCACCCTGAAAGAGCAGCCCATAGATAGAAATAGCGTATCCCAAACGCTATATCTAAGGCTATAATGCTGGAGTGGCTAGCAGTAAATCTGTAGCTGAGGGAGCAAACATCCAGCTTTCAAACGAGAGGGAGCTCAACCTACAGCATGTTCTGATGGTGGAACAGCTAGCAGTTATTCAGCTGAGGGAGCAACACACCCAGTTCTCAATCCGAGAAGGGGGCTCGACCTGCAGCATGTTCCAAAGCTGGAACAGCTAGCAATAATTTACTTAACGCTCGAAAGAAAGCACCATACTCACAATAACCCTCACTGGTGATGCTTCCAGAGTGTGTCGACAGAGACATACTAGTTGAGTGGAGCCCAAGGAACCGGGGTCTAACCAACTCAGAAAAAGGGAACGAGGTCAATAACGCGTAACCCTTACCATACAGGATTTTAGAAAAGTGGGCAAAGCATAACGTGCACACTTACCACTTATGTGGATTTTAGAAAAGTGGGCAAAACATAACGTGCACACTTACCAACTATGTGGATTTTAGAAAGTATGCAAAGCATAACGTGCACACTTACCACTTATGTGGATTTGTAGAAAAGTGCGCAAAGCTTAACGTGTGCACTTATTTTAGAGTTTTCCAAGCATCTGTTTACAGATA